ACATGTCCAAATGTTCACTAGAATATATCAAAACCTTAAAGCATTCAGATGTAAAATAAATTATTTATAGGTGTATTTAGACTAAATTTAGTCAAATTTGCCCCAAACAACAGTTTGGCTGGGAGAGACTGAAAAGTAGAAGGAATAAAAGCAAGCTAAAACTGAGAGGAGAAAAAAAAAGTCCACTTAAGGCAGTGAGAAAAGAAAAGAAAAATGACTATAATTTTTTTTTCCTTTTTCTAAAACTTGTATTTTGGTCTTTTGAAAAGAGTGATTTATGTATTTATATGGCAATCACACTCTTGTGAGCAGATCATTTTATAAAATTCATCATTTCAGAAAAGAGCTGGGTATAAAATAAAAACCATGTAAAAAGGAGCTAACACTGAGTGAGTAAATACTGCACTGCATGGTCTGCAATTAGAATAAAACAGGCCATGGAGTGCATTCTGACAAGTTCCATGTGTTAAACAGGATATAGCTAACACCTTCCATGACACTCTGTTCCTTTCGAGGACCCACACTTTTAGAAATATGCATGCTCTTTTCTTTTCATCACGATTGCCTGCCCACTATTTGCGACACCTTGTTTCTCACAACAGCTCATCTGCCCTTTTTGAACACCGACACCTACATATCATCCGATATAAAAAGCTCACTGAGGGAGTGGAGCGGGTAGCAAGTTTCTTAGAGGATAAAAGTAAAAATAAATCTCTAGGATCTTAAACAGAGGTTTACTTTAACAATGCTCTGTTAGGCTCCTCAATGGTAAGAAACCTGGTTCCTAAAAAAGGGTGATTACTATTAACTCTATTAGATGTGGCATTTATGTTATGCCTCGACAGTACGGGTTCTCTAACATTGTTTGCTTTAAATTGCATTACAACTGTGTAAACTGAATATGTTGCTGTTATGGGAACAAAACAGAAGTGTGCTTAAATTATGATGCATCATGGAGGTATAGCTGCACCTCTTCAAACAGTTTGGTAGAAAAGCTTTATAAAGGGACCAGAGGCTCTCTTGATGTATGTAAGAAGACACAAGTCTTATAAAATATGCATTTCAAGGACATGCTCTTTCTGCAAGTGGACATATCTGATATAATATATATGAGGGGGAAAAAAAACACCTTTAACCTCTCTCAATATGTTAAAATTTGAAATTCAATTCCAAAATTTCTTGGCTTATTACCTTATACAGCGCTGTTGTGCTGTGAACCTTAGCGACAGAAAATCAACTCCTTTCAAATAACCTAAACTCTGCTTTGTTATAAGCAGAAGCACTCTGCTAAACTATTGATATTAGCTTGGACTGCAGCCTAAAACAACCATTTGTGCATGAAAAAGTTGTTTTGGAACATCCAGTAATGATTTTGCACAGTCATCCTTTTATTAAATGCTGTTATGCTTCAGTCGGCATTGAAGTATTTTCCATCATGGTTTAGATAAGAAAAAAATATCACAAGTGGCCCTGTCAGTTGGGATATTTTTCTTAGTTTCTTTTAACTTTTAGTTGAGCTTAACTGTTAAGATGACTTTAAAATGTTAGTTTTAAAAATCCATACCATTCCTCAGGTTTAGTCCTTTTCAGTGCAAAGTCAAGGCGAATGATCAAACCTTTCTCAATCTGTTCTTCTGATGCTTTTGTTCACAGAAACACAGAATGCCTAGTTCCCTGTCTGTTGTTATAGACAGACAGACAACTGACTGAGGGAGGGCCCTAACATTTCCCTTCAGGTATAAAAAGCTTCTATATTTCACAATAATTCTGATGCAAAAAGATGGAAACTCTTGGTTTAGGACCTAAAAGATTCTTTAAAAGAAAGCCTGAGCTTTCATAAAGATCAGCTTCTTCAAGCCCGGCTCCATGGTTTTTAAAATGGAGAAGGGTGGCTTGCCCTCTCCAAAGGGGTGTTCCTTTCTGAAGTGGTGGAGTTCAGGTCTATCTTGGTCACAAGTAAGAGAAGAATGGAGTGGGACTTTGAGGGAGGGATTAGTATGACTTTCATAGTAATGTGGATGCTCCTTGGATCTGATGTGGCAAAGAGAGAGCTGAGCCCCTGAATTAAAGGTGCTGCTCAATGTTGAGAGGAGTTCACAGAGGTGGCCCTGGCATCTGTTTCAGATGTCACCTGAATGGCTACCAAGAGAGGTCTTCAAGGCACCTCCCACTGGAAGGAGACTCAGGGGATGGCCAAGGACATGCTGGAGGGATTATGTCTCATTGCTGTTCTTTGAATGCTTCGGATCTCCCTAGAGGAGATGAAGGAGGTATCTGGAGGGAGGGGAGTCAGAGTGTCTCTGCTGAGACTGTATTCCTTGGGACCTGTCCTAGATAAAGTGGAAAACAGCTAGTACGAGTAATTGTCATACTTTGTCTCCAGATGCAAGGCTATTTGCGGCAAAACTGGAAACCAAGTGGATTCTGTTTCACTGTATCAGCTGCAGCAATTGTCATATTTAGTAAAATGTCAATAAAAAATATAGTTTTAATTCTAAATTCTTTCAAAATAACGTATGGACATAATCTTGGATATTCTTGAAAAAAGGAAACATATTCTTCAAGATCAATTCCTGCTTAATTCCTAGAAAAAAAACGAAAAAAAAAAAAAACTTAGTGATATTTTAAAAAGAAAAACAGTTTGTCTCATTAATGTTTTTTGTTTCAAGATTGGCTTAAAAAAACATATGTAAATGAACAGGTTTATGATCTTAGATGGTAATGGAAGCAGAAAAATATCTGTAACCATTAACATTACTTTAATGTTCCTTATAATAAACTTGAAGAAATTTAAGGACCATTCAGCTACTCAAAGTAGTAAGAGAAAAAAAAGGAAAAAAAAGTTTAAACTTTTCGTATAGGAACCTCAGTAAACGGCCGCCATTCAGATAAGAAGTGCCCATCTGCAGAACTCTGATTCCAGCTGATCTTGTTTTAAACTATTCTGATCGAACTCTCTGTGACCTCTCAGTTGACCGGAGTGGAAAGCTGGTATGATTGAAAAACTTTGTGCAAGTGATAAATTAAGGAGAACAGGACAAACAGAAGACAGAAGAGAAGCAGATTAAAAAAGAAAAGAAGAGCAAGGGAGAGCAGGGATTAATCTTTTTAATAAGCGGATTCAGGTTTAATTTTTCTATTTCACATTGCAGGACCACGTGCCCTCAAGCTTGTCTTTTTGTGTTTTTAATGTATGTGCAATATTAGAATACCTGATTGAAGCCACACGTACAGTAAGATATCCCTCCCTCCCTCTCAGAAGGGACAGATTTGTTAGTTAAGCACTTTTGACTTAACTTGCACTATGACAGTACTTTGCTTTCCCATCAATTGAGGCAGGTCGGCACAACATACAACTACAGCGGTGGTGTACAAATCCATCCATGTTCTCCAGACAGTGATAATCCTCACTGATCTCTTTGCTTCCACCCCCCCTCCAACCTGCCTTACATCACACAATGGAGATGGGAGGAGGGATGGAATGAGATAAAGAGAATAATAGGGGAAATATAGTTAAAAACAGTTGGATGAGGAAGAGATGTTACCAAAGGAAGGCATGCAGAAGACAGGAACTGAGGAAAAATATGTACTAAGCAGCCTCAAATCAGCTTCCCCTAAATTATGTCACAAAGGCTCACTGGGCTGCCATGATGCACATGATATGTTGGAAAGGATTAAGCGGTAATCACAGGGGTTTGGCTGTCCACACAAGGGGAGTATATAAATCCCCCTCTCTCCAGCCAGCTAGGCCCTCTGCTGGCTTCTGTAAGGGACACATAGCTAGATAAATAGTCCCACTGGAGAAATAGATAGAGGATTTAAAAAAGCTTCTAGGAAGAGTTTGGAATCACCTTAAACACAAAAACCTTGAAGTGTTTTCTTCTCTGGATCAAAAACTAAGTAAGCTGGATGGATTAACTGAAGGATGAGAGTTTTGGACAAACTAAGGAAGTAGAAAACAGCCTTGATAGAGACACCAACCAACACTTCATTGCAATAAACAATGTTTAAATAAATAATAACTATGCTATGTTGGAGGGAATCAATTTCTTAATTTTTCTTCAATTTAGAGAGTGAGCTGGTCATACTCGCTGATAAAAAATGAAATAAAGCAATTCAATCTAATTTATTATGATCATCTCACTTTTAAGGAAGAAGGTTGATTTCATGGACTCATTAATCATGTAAATGTCTTTTTAAATTACCTAATCAACTATACAAAAAGGTTTATAATTTAATAATAGACATGCTATTAGAGTGGTGGTTTTTCAAAATCCTGTCATGTCTGTGGAATTTCACAATGAGGTATTTTGAAGGGGTAATAATGACACCATTTGCACAGAACTACGACAGAAGTCCCCTGACTGAATCAAGAAATGAAACGCTGTGATTGGCTTTAAAGAGGGGACAGGCGACAATCTGAGTTTATGACATCATGAGTTGACATCATACATTCAGGATATCACATCTGAAAACCACGCCCCGCTCTTACAGGGGTAAACAACTGCAAAGTAGCGACCAATTCTGACTGTAAATATCTAGGCCTACTGTAAAATCGCCCTGATGCCAAAGCCTTGATTTGCTTATGGATGCAGTCTTCAGGCCTGGGAGATAGATGAACCATATTTCTATTATTCTTCAATACAGAAAGGAACAAAAAGATGTGCTTGGGTGTAAGCCTTAGAAAGGATCAGCAAAAATTGCAAAATCTGGAGTCCAAACTCAAAGGGTCCTAGGTGTATAGTCAGCATTCACATTGCATTATTATTTCTAAAAACTAGAAGATGAAAATGAATTGAACACTTTTTTTTAGTGAAGGAGGCAGTGGAGACAAGCTTTTTTAAATCAAAGTGGAAGATAGAGTGAATGTCAAAGGATGAAAAGGGAATGTTCTTAAAAGGTTTATGGGTGGCTTTTTAAAAAGCTGTTTTGATTTAGCCCTAGAAGGATTTTTTCGTGGTCCTACCTCCAGCATAGACACCGGCCAGCTGCTGCCTTACCTCCCCTGCTCTGCTTGCTGGGCATGCTTCTCTGCTCTTTGCTTTTCTCCTTGCCTCAGTCAACCATAGCCTCCCCACATACTGGAGAACCCCACCAGGGAGACAAAGTACTGCTGTCCTCCTCCTGGCCATCCGTAGCTTTTCCCTCGCATTCAGTGCACCGTTTCCTCGGCAGACTTATCCGATCTTCATCGTGCTTGCTTGATCCTTTGCAGTTAACCTCTACAGTTGGCCTCTGTCAGCTGTTCTATTTTTTTGTGTTATCTGCACTTATCTTTTGGTAGAAGGTTGTCTTGATATTTAGAAATTACTATGACTGAAACATGTAAAATCTACAAAGAGTTCCGTCTACCTCTGTGGTTGCTAAGCAAATGTTTACCCATCATAAGATGGCCGTGATAGTCGCTCGGCTCGCACTTGGATCTGTGATTTGTAGCTCTATGGAGAATGTTACTATGGTAACAGACATAGGTTGAGTAAACTTTCTTCATGAAACAAAAAACTGAGTTCCTGTTTCATGAAATGGACCTTTGGAGTCGTATGTCAATCTTGTTTTACATTATGTTAGATCTCTTTCCTGCCTTTTTTTTTCAGCCCCCCTCTGCTCAATATCCTCCCTATTCCTGAGCTTATTACCTTGATTTTCTTCATAATCTCCCCTGATTGCTCTTACCTGTTTCTCTTGCCATTTCCACTTCATTCTCAGTATTAAAGGAGTTGGATTTTAGGGCATCTTTACTGAAATCTTCAATTTGAATTCCTCCGATCTCCATGTCCAGTTTCTTTATGATTCATTTTAAGGATTCTGAGTTAGTTTATTCTTTTATCTGACTATACTTCACTTTGCATTTGTGTCCTAATCATGTACAACCAAACAGCTTCATCAATCTACATGTTGAGTTTGTTTTTTTTCTTATATTAGTTGTTACTGTCTTCCCTCAGTTGTGTGACATGTTGCATAACGGTATAGACATAAACTGCCATATTGTTCATTGAGATACAGCATATAGCTCTGAGGCTGAATTAAGAATATTATGTGCAGAAATGTTTGATAGCGTTCGGTCAATTCCCATTATGTTCCACTGCATGCTCAAAAGAATTTCAAAACATCTGTTCTGAAGTAAAGTGACACACTTTACTGAACAGCGATTTCCCCACGTCTCAGTTCCCACCTTATTCCTGCAAAAGAGTGTACGGTTATACAATGTGCAGCTAACTGTGACATGAACATGGTGAATTTTAAAGAAAAGAACACATGCATATGATATGGTACAGTGGAGTAAGCAAAATTGCCATTTGTTCAGCCTTTCATGGAAATTTGACACAAATTAAGAGGCTTCCAAGTCTAATTGAGTGAGTTAGTTTTCTGGGGCAGGACAGCTGGCAGACCCCCCCATCACAGAGACATTGACTTAATCTTCTATCCATGATGGCTGACATGGCCTCTTCACCTCCTGTCTTCCTATCCTCTTTTTTTTCATATCTGCACTGTCTGCTCCCCTTTTAACCCATCACCTTTGCTTTTATGTGTTTGTTAAGTGTCTCTTTCCTCTCTGTTCTTCTTAGTGTTCTGCTTTAAATAGTCAATGCAATAAACCAAAATTGCAGATAATACTGTTCTATTCATTTGAAAGTGTTAGTGGAAAAAATTTAGAAAAAAAAAATGCTTCAGTAAAGTGAATAGGATTAACAAAAATCTAGCCATCTTCCAAGACAGCAAATTTGTCATTAACTAGATAAAAATTATTTCTGTAATTGTAAATGTGCAAGAATAATTATATTAATACTTGGCTGCATCTGCTTGATAGGGACAATATAAAAACCTTCTTATTATTACTAACCAATTAATATTTTAAAGGCCATTAATGGAACGTTGAAGTCACAACACAAGCAGGCGTATTAAAGGACCTTTCTGCTTAATATTGGATGTAATACTGCCCTTAAGTACATCATAGGTTATATGGCCTTGAATTCAGCTACTGATTACATAAATTTATACATTTCAGCAAAATTTGAAAAGGAATTGATAAAAGGCTTGATTCTCAAACTATTCTACAAGTACTGCTAGTGGTAGTTAGGTTGTTTTCAGTGGTACTCAGAGGAAACGTGGGTATAAGCTATAAGGTTGAATAGGGAGCAAATTAGCAGTTATGTAGCACTAATAAACAGCCAACAAGATGAACTTCGCAAGTACATATGTTTTTGCTTCTAGCATGAATCACTTTAAAGGTAAAACAGTGGAGAGTATTTCAAGAATCTCCCTAAAAGTGTGCTGAGGACAAAATGCCAGTGCCTCCTTGGGTTGCATCCATGTATCTCTTAAGCTGACAGTTGGATTAACATTAAGCCCAACGTGACCACAATGTGTACACAAATTAGAACATTGGTGTAGTCAATGATAACCACTGCGTAGTGTACAAGCTTTTAAATATGTCTTTATTTATGAACAAATTAATCCTGGACTGCAAGACTTTTTTGTAGAACCTATATTTATTAGAACATAAAATTGAGTTCTCAAAAATTTTGTGAGCTATAAACCTTTAGGTTGTCCTGCAAATCATAAACATTAACTTGCACTTTTTTCCCCTAAGACAATGCAGGTATGTATATAGGGACACGATTTCTACATAACCATTGCCAGTTTTAAGTTAAAATCACTTTCAAGATTTTTTTTTTATTTTTTTTTTTACAAGATTTAATAGTCTTTTTATATAATGATGAAAAAAAAAAAAAAAACTTTTACCATTGAGTGCAAGTGTCACTTACACATAATAAAATCACATAGATTTCTAGAAGTCTTTAGTTGTCTCCTACGCCCTCACATTTAGTATTTCAGATACCTGTGAATGGATTTTGACAGCTTAGGGGCACTGATGCTTTCCAGCACTGGGCTGTGCAATTTTGAAAATTACAGTACAATCACAATACATAAAAACGCTTTGAGTGGTTATGACAGGTAGATCCTTTTTTTGCAGCCTGTTTTTCCTTCTTTTTTCCTTGACAAATGTTTTAAAGAGAAGTAAAACAATATGACATTTTGGGGTTGAGCAGTTCAGAGTTAAGTAATAAAAAGAGGGGGAAAATCCCTGACATCCATCTAATAGTTCTCCCAATCCAAACTTATTTCCTTTCAGCTTTCAAACAGTCTTTTATGGCCGTAGAAGGGTGTCATGTCTCAGAAAATCAGAGGACGGTGCAAGACAGTCTAGCTCCAAGAGGTTAAGGTGAGAAATGGTTTAAGAGTTAACTTTTATTCTCAGGCTTTCATTAAGGAAAGGATCAGATCATATATATATATATATATATATATATATATATATATATATATATATATATATGACCTCTTTCAAACCATCTCCAAAACTTTCGGTGGAAATAATGAGCCAGATTTTGAAATGGCTTATTGTTCTTTGCTTAGACAACTCTACATACACATATATCAGACTCAAATGAAACTCTGAAAGCCCTCTAGAGATGTCAGGCAGACAGGGACAAAGAAATTGACAAGGGGAAAGAAAAAAACTATGTGTTCCTTCCTTTTTTGTGACAACAACAGATGTTGTAATCCCAGAAGCCTAACAGTGAAGGTACATATCTGCAGTTTGCTTGTAGAACTACTAGCCAGGGGTTTCAGTGCAACATCACTTTCACAAGCCGTTGCTCTTATTGTTACTCATCTGCAGTTAGCTCATGCAGACGCTCCATTTATTGTTGCACACTCAGTAATCATGGGATTACAGCAGCTGTAATCAGATGCTGGAGCTCAATACAACCCTTCCACATTTTTATACTTGTTCTACTTTTAATGCATGATTTGAATTTTCAGCCCTGTGAATCTCAAAGCCATTGCATATAAAAAAAATAAAGTATAATATAGTAAAAGTATTCAACATTTAAACAATGTCCCAGTAAATTGGGTGTAATTGGTCTCTAAACAAGTAATTTCACATCAAATTGTAGGAATCGGAGTAATAAAAAAAAAATTTAGTAATTATAGAATAATCCTTTTTATTGTTCCACAGTGACAAATTAAGGTACTTATGTCAACAAAGTATGCATAAAACAATTTAAAAGCCAACAAAATAGCTTAAATCTGTCAATATATAGAAATCTAGCTCTTTTAGAGCAAACTAATATTGGCTAGCTTATTAGGTGAAAAAAAGAATGGATCTCACATTCAATAACCTGTTGTTTTGAAAGTTGCTGGTGATACTAGGATATTTCTAAATTTCTAAATGTCTCTTGAAAACTTTTGGGGCCATTTAACAGAGTCATAAACTCCCTTAAACCTGAAGCAACGTTTAGGATTTCGAAATTTAATTCTGAAAATACTGAAATTGTGTCATAGAGGAACAATTACAGAGATTATCAGAAAGACAACAAAGAAAGAAAAACTATAAAAATGCACTCAGACTCACAATAATGTGTTCATAAATGTTCACAGCATAAGGCTTCACTTTTGAAGAAAAAGTAGGATGAAGGTTATTTAAAGTTTACTGGGAACATTTGTAAATATAAATGAAATATTGGGAAAATTTGGACATTTGAGAATAAAATTTAGCTCTGTGGATATCCTTGCACCCAATTGGTTCTGTACAAAAGCACTCCCCCACAAACCTACCAGCAGTTAAATTGGTACTTAAGAAGGTCACGGTGTGATGTTTTTAACATGTAGAATGTAAGTAAGAAATCTATCATGAGATAAATATGATAAACATCATGACGTACTAAAAGATAAGAGGAAGGCGATAAATTGGGGACATTTCAGCAGTAGAACATTAAAAAATTAAAATCTTTAAAGAAAAAGTCTGATACCCATCCTTTTAAAGATCACAGAATAATTAAGGTTTGAACAGTTTAGATGGAAGAATACATCAAAATCACGTCTGACCAATGAAATGTAACTGCTGTTGCAAATGCATAAATTGTTAAAAATTGTCATTTAAAAAAAAAGAACTTTCTACTAAACCCTGAATATATTTAAGAAAACATCTCTTTTACTACCTTTTCCATTATACTTTAAAGTTAAAATTTAATGTA